AAATTCACTGATATCGATAATATCGATATCGGAAATTCCAAAATATCGATATTTCGTAGACTAAATTTAAACACAATAATATCAATTAATTTACCTGCTATGACTATCTAAATTGAATAATATCGAAATAACTATTGCTTTGAAATCGCAAGAGCTTATAGATGTATTAAAAAAATCTTGAACCCCAAGAAATATACTAAACTGGTGTGGATTCTGGCATGATTCTCTCAACCTAAAATTAAATTTACCAACAGTGTATCCTTGTCATTCTCTATACAGAATGACAAGGAGAGACTGATGTTAAATTTAGTTTTAAGTTTAGATAATCATGCCAGAATCGACACCAACGTATATAGGTATAATCGTATACCTAATGGTAACTCATGCACTTAAATAAAATTTCTTGCCTCTCTTTCTAGATAATTGTCAACTACTGATTAATTGAAATTAAATATCATTGTAATATAACACAAAATAAAATTAAGAATCTTATACAAATAGTAAATTTTTAAGCTCGCCAAGTCAAGAAAGTAAGATAGGTATAGTAATTTTTGAAGCTTTAGGCTTACCCTATTCTGAAGCCATGGGCACGCCCCTGATGTGTGGGAGACTAAGCAATTTGCGTATTTGATGTGCGCTAAAAAACCGACATAGCTTGGAAAAGCACGAATGTAGTGAAAACTTAGCGAAGGCATTCGCAAATGTCGTCCCACATATGCGGGTTACCGCATTCGTGCTAACAAATGTGAGTGATCTGATCAGGATAATAATTTTAATTTTTTGGTTTCCTGTCGTGGCTGAAACACAAACCGTACGAGCCAAAAAAAAATCCTGCTTGGCGCGATTTCATCAAGCAAGTTTAAAGAAAAACCTGGCTCAATGCATTTTGCGAGAAACTCGCCAACAAACATATGAATGTGTCACACTCACCCCGTATTCTAATGTTTATAAAAAAAAAGAAAAAAAAATCGATATATCGATAATATCGAGTTCAAATGGTCGATATATCGGATATCGATATTTTCCTGACTTCGATATAAATATCGATATAATATCGATATTTCAAAAGACTTTGCATCCCTACCGTCGAGTAGTTTTTGTTTCTATAAGGAACATACACACAGACAGACAGACAGACAGACAGACAGACAGACAAAAATTTTACTGATTGCATTTTTGGCATCAGTATCGATCACTAATCACCCCCTGATAGTTATTTTGAAAATATATTTCATGTACAGAATTGACATCTCTACAGATTTATTATAAGTATAGATTTCATCATGATCGTTTCATCATTTACATTCTGCTACATTGTATTATTTAGATTGTGGTATGAGAAAATAAATAAATATTATTATTAATTTATTATTATTAAACACTTAGTAAGTATTGCAAAACAGTAAAAATAAAACACAGGTTTCGCCTATTTATTTTTTTAACTGTTTTTCGTTCTAGCGGCAATAAAAATTTACCATTATTTAAATATGCCATATCATTTGGTTAATACCCATTTCGCTTCACGAGAACTCGCTGACAAATGGACGGTAATAGCGATGTCTTATGTAAAAAAGTCCTAGTTTGCGAAATCCTGATAGGCTCCTGCAGGCTCCTGCTATCTTATTAAAAAAATAATCGGACTGCGTTTTGTCAAAGACGTTATTTTTTTATTTTAGTAAAGCCGAAGAATATTTTTTTACTGCTTTGCAATACTTACGTAAAGTTCCGTACACAAAGCGGAACTCTATTGCTGTCACTCTGTCGTCTGTCTGTCTGTCCGTATGGCACGGTTCTATAGATCGTAAAAGGAATGAGTTACAGAACTGAAAGTGTGGTATTTTATATAAAATGCTGGCCCAAAAACGAATATTTAGTTTTTTTTTAGAAATTAAATTAAATTATTATTCATTTTCCCATAGGTACATGAAAAGAGTAGATTTTTTTTTACCCAAGCATTTAAAATATCATTGTCTAGAGCTCGTTGAGTAGGATTTAAATATTAAGTATTTCTGTACGTGAGTATTTAACTGCAACATACTCGTAATGAAAATTTAAACAAAAAAAAACTTTACCTCTGAAATCAGGGAAAACAAAAATATGTAGTGCGTCAGCTGTAACTTTCCTTCGCTAAAACTAAGAGCGTATCGTACCTATTTTGGATGGAATTATCGACGATGTATGAAACCATATCTCATCGTACATTACCATCACTGTATGATATTTTTTTTTTATTAACATAACTAGTATTGTGACATGAATATTTGTTCCCCTTGCATACGTTTGCATATATTTAAGAGAGGTAGGGCTGAGCGGATTCACCCGCTCGAATTGGAGCGCTCATTCAGATGAGAAGCAACCTTTACCTTATAGAAGACTACCTTTTGGTGGTGTTGTGGTTATGCTGGTATGTAGGGTGCAAGGGCTCCGCGGGGTTCAGGCAGCACACTTTCTGCTTCATCATCTATCTTCGCATCTGGACTTAACATCACTCAAACTTAACATTACGTGGGATGGAGTAATTTGTTTCGCCTTGTATAAAAAAAAATATCTAATATACCCGCCTGGTAATGTACCTACACTTTCGTTTTCACACTTAAAGCTGACTTTCCTTTAAAGTAGGCATACCATACGTCCTAGTTTGATCGGGACTGTCCCGGTTTTAAGCACGGGTTATTCTATTCGATTTTGTATGATGTTTCATTAACATTAAGAGTCGTGGGATGCGTACAAAAAAATAAAAAAAGTATTGTGGAGGTACAAAATATACTAATACATCCACAAATGGGTCTTTTTTGGTTTTTGTTTTGCTGTGTTATGCCGACTGTCTCTGTTAGGCTTCGAGAGTTCTAAAAAAGGTTATATGCTAACACCCCAAAGGAATGCTTAAAATGTTTAGCCATTTCAATCATAAAATATGTATGTTAGGTCGTCCTCGTTCCTGTCCAAAACAATGAAAAACAAAACAAACGAATAAAAAACGCAATAACAGCGAAACAGACCTCGCCTTTTTCACTCATGAGAGTATTTCGAATTGCAAATTTAGGGAAAAAAGCACCAACTACACTCAAGTCGAATGCGGCAGAGCGCGATAAGCAAGTACCGCTTATGCAACATCACGAATGTAATTGCTCCCTTGTCTGGCACGACACTTCGTGTTGGAGCGAGAACGCCAAATAAAACGGTGCCGGTGTAAAAGGGACGGGTGACAGCAGAGTCAACAAAGCCGTAAGCGACAAAAATGATTGATTGCCAGCCGTCTTGCGCTGAGCTCTATTTAATCACTTTATTCCCTTTTCTCCGTTTGTGCCAGGATAATTTTGTATTTGTGTAATTTGTATATGAAATGAGCAGGCGCACCGCCACCACCCGGGTAGCGCCCGGTTCATATCCGGGTCTTATCGGGGGCGCGTGTAAAACAAGATTTTGATATCATCACATGTCATGAATACGCTTGTGTTCGTTACGAGAACGATTAGCGATCGTGCAAAACTCACATACCTACTTACTCAGAATGCAGCGATTCGTAATTTACAACAGATTAAATGGGATTTGATATGTTGATAGAAATACTGCCTTGCTCTATACAGAAACCTTATTCCCATCCCAACAGGACATAATAAACGTAACTTAGTGCAAGGTGATATCACTGAGTTCAAGAGTACATTAGTCGAAGCGTTTTTTTAACAATTTCGCGCCAAAAACATTATTAGAATATGTTAATTCCACAGTGAGGTATATTTCTTGAAAAAGCACATTGTAATAACTTAGAGTCTGAGTCTTAGAGTCAAGATGATAAGAGAGTAAGAAGTACTCTAACCAAACTCAACATCGAAGATTTTTTTTATAAAACTCTTTTATAAGTAATGTTTTTATTGTGAAAATTTTTAGTATTTTAAACATTTATAAAAACTATTATAAAAAAAAAATAGAAAATATTAACACTGCTTATTTGTTTATTATATTTAAAAGCAAGTCAGTTGCAAGCAATAAATTTGAAGAAAAAAATGATTAAAGAAGTAGAACACAATACAAATGAACCGTGCTGTTAAAATATGTATTTCGTAATAACTGTAATTAACTGTTGTTTATTGATTTATATATTTCATTACAATCCTTAAATTTTTAAATTGGAAGCTGCACGACAATATTACATATTAGAAGAATAACAAATACAACAAAAAAATAACTCTCTCTCATTATGTAGCTATTTGTATGTTCGGTTGTAACAATGCACTTTAGCAAGATTGAGTCCATATTTGTTGACTTCATCTATTATGGTCATTGTCATATTAATATATAAGGTAGGTACTTTTTAAAACGGATCGCGAACGAATTAAGACTCGCACCTGATCATCTTTTTTCCAATAATGAGTAAGTAGGTAAATTAAGTCGGAATAAATAATCTACACTGCGCTTTGCACCACATTGACATAATCATTCACAATTATGTAACATTATGCCGTGCAGTTTAAATTTTAAATGAAACAAACCAGATCCTTTTTAGCCATGGAGTATTGAATGATGGCTCACCACGCAGCAGAACCAGTGCGAAATGGTGAGAACTAACAACTGCAGATGCAGCCGAAACCAAGGGCCTAATATGCCTTCCGAATAGCAAGCAAGGAAGGTTATTTAGCTTTTAACGGCATTGTTACCATGAACCTTGTTTTTTACGATTCGCCGATATTTCGAACTTGTTGCAAACGCCATGATCACGGAATAATTGAAGTAGATGTTATTGGCAAACATATCGGTCTACCCTCTGACGTCGTCTTTAATTGCGCTCGATAACCCTACCACTGGTCACATTCTCACTATTCATTCGCACCTGTTCCCGACACACAATACTCCCCGTAAATAGCTATAATGTTAGTGATCATAAAAGTTTAAAACATTATGAAGAGATGTACGAATCTGCTAACCAATGTAGCATTGAACATCTCCTCACTCTACTTAAATCTATAGTCTATACTAATAAGAAAATGAGAGGGTAAACTTACGAAACTCACCGCTCATATGTCCGTTTTCATATGGCGAGTATTCCCCGTTCTCCAGGCGGTGCTTCTTGAACGGGTGGCCAGGGAACTGCGTGGCTGCAAGTGACAGGCCCACGCCGGACGCACGCTTCGGAGGCCTGCCCGGTCTGGAGCTGCGGACATAGTAGCACGTTACTGCCGTTTAGGATGGGATACTTAGCTTGCACATGGATATGGACAACATTTTTTTATTCGATAAGTCACGGCGAATTACCCCACACCCAGTTAAGGTGGATTTTGAAGACAGCTGAAGCGGCAGAAAAAAGTACAGCTCCAGCTATCCTCACCTTGCTGGCCTTAAGGTACCCATTCACGGCACGTCCATCAATCCAAATGGAATACAATTCTTCCAAAATCGTACGTGAATGTAAAAAACCTAGGAATGGACATCGTCCCAGCTTTGGATTTCCAAAGGGATTAAAATCCATGCGTCCAATCCAAATGGAAGCCGTTCGCGGCCGACTGTCAATGTTAAAAAACGTGCGCCAAACCATTTTGAAGCTGTCCGGTTGTGATTTTTGTCTCAGTATATGCTCTGGTGTTGACGCCGCCGGCGGTAGCTGGACATGATATATATTAATCTGTATGGTTATGGTTTGGTTTAAATTATTACTTTCATATGTCATTCCTGGAGCTAAATAGCGAAGTGTAGCACATAGCCTCTCAAGGGGACTTATGGCTTGTCTCATATTAGTATCTCGATTTTTATTATTAGTGTATTATTGGTGTAATTTGAAATAAGTCTGTTCGTACACTTTCAGAATATTTCTGCAATCGGTGGGTTTTAATAATAATTCGGAGATTAAGTTGGTGTATTGACAAATGTACTTCTCCTTTTAACCACCTTTTTGTCCATTTTATTTTAGATTTTTTCTGTCTTTTCATTGAAATACACACCGATAGTTAAAAATCCATCGTATCATTTGTTCCTACATGTATGAAAAGAGTGCAACTATTCGTGACGGAGCGCGTACGTCCAAATGGATGTATAGTCAATGTGCCTTCAATGTTGAGTACTTCTATTTGGAAGTATTCCAAACAGTGATCTCGTGAATGGCTACCTTAAGGCTGATTTTGTATTTCTCAATTCAACGACGCATTAGGTTTTTCAACCCCAATTAGGTGCATGTGAAGTCCAGTCGCGAAGACAACTGAAGCGGCAGATGAGTAATCCGCTCCAGCTCTCCTCACCTTGGTAACCTTTAGATCAACCCTAATCTAATCGTCTACCCTGAAGGGGTTAGGTTCCTCTGTTAGGAATGAGCTTACTAACAGAAACAGCACCACCGTACGGTAGTGTTATTTTAATGTGGTGTTCTGAAAGGTAAAGGTTACCTTTTAAAACGGAGAAAAATCTCAATTTACACACATAGAATAGAAAGAGCATTAAGAAGAGTAATACTATATAACAGTAGCGGCAGTTAAACGACCACCCCTAAATTTCCGAAACGAGCTGTTGGTTTGCTGATAATGCTATAACTATACCTAATTGACTTTCATCCCTGAATGGGATATGTATTATTTCTATATTGCTTTTAGATAGACAGTTCAGCAGCTGTAGTCCACCAAGAAAGTACACACAATTTTATTACATAGCAATAAGACCCACAGCATCGACTAACAACTACTGAACCTGCGCTGATTTTACATATTTATTCATCACAAATTAATGTAACAAACTTAACTATTTTTAAATACACAAAAGTCACATTTTGTATGAGATCACAAACTTCTTCTGGCAAGGTGTTAAGATAATATCATAACTAACTTTTTCGAATATTAGGACATGTTGACTGTTTTCAAATACGAAAACGTTACCTTTCAAATAAATATGGCAACTTATGTTAACATCCAAATACGGTTGTGCTACCACAAAAGTAACTGCGGTGTACAAAGTAATAGAAGTAAAAAAATGTGACTCCACTGATGGTGCTGAGAAAAAGATGTGTAGAAAGTAGGAAATAGTGTTTAAAAGATATAATAAGAAAAATAAAACTAATAACGCAGCAAATAATAGAAATTTACAGAACACCAACATGCAACAACGAAATGCGTAATCTAATATAGTATCACAATCGATATATATTTTGGAGTACATTAAAAACAACCAGGCTCATGTGTCATATCCGTATCATCAATAGTTTTTATAATAATGCCGCACTGCACATTTGCGTATAGGACAAATCACAAAACATGCTATTGGTGGAAGCTAAAGATTTCTGTTAAAAGGACTGCAATCTATTCTCTCTATCTACCCAGCCATGGGTACAGTATAAAAATATGTGTGATTGCTAAATGTTGAATCAATGGTCTATCTGTTGGTAAGCGGTCACCATAACTTAATACTAAGGCCCGCTTGATCCGCTTCCAAGTTTTTAAATCTAATTTAAAAGCGAATCGTCTTTAAGCCTCATTCTATCTTTAATTGACTTTTTATAATTGGACCATGTTGATTAAAGTGACCCTAAGAGTATCACAGAGCGTTATCTGCTCCCCAAAGAATACTGTAATTTGGATGCACTCTGATCAGTGCTGATAGTAGAAAAAAAATGTTTGACCATTCAAAAAAGTTGTAGGTATTCTACTTAAAATTAGTTTTTTATTTTATGTAGTCTTCTATAAGATGGTTGCTAAGTGCTTCAATTCATGCTGAAAACCTGTTGTGCCCTCCTACTCTGCTGTGCTCTTTGTGACATGCCTGATGAGTATCTCATGATCAGTGGTGTGAGCTAAATGCCTTTGGTAAGGTAAAGATAATCAAATTTATAATTTTTGTCACTCATTGTACTAATTAGATTATGCACAAATTTTCGTTGTGATATACCACTATATCGAAATTCTCCATCCAGTCGCGTAAAAAGTTATAATTAGAAAAAAATGAAAGAAATTCTCCCTTTTTAATTCGGCAATTGTGATATAAATCAAATCCTCGCGTGAGGGTGTAAGCTTGTATCTATCTATATATTTATTTATTTGCAGCCCCAAGAGTTATTACCGTAAGACGTCGTCCGCAGTTTCCACAATTTCACGCTTATTGTTTTCCCATCCGTGATTTATGTTAGAGTAATAGAGGGCACTATATTCTTGGACGCAATAAAGTATGTCACCTAAATCTTAGCCTTAAGCCTATTGGGCGGCCGATCTGAGAATTACTCGCAATTGTTATAAAAGTAGTTGTATATAAAACTACTTTATTCTAAATCACATTAAATGTGTATTACAATTAAGAATGTTTTTATTTTAACATGAATTTATTCTTTTGCTTTTATATACTTTGGCTTTTATACAGAGCAGCCTTTAATCTGTTTGGCGACAAATCTATGTATTTACGCACTGTTTCCAAGGGAAATTTCACCACTGCTTGTTCCAAAGATTTTTTAAGAGACTCAATGTATGTCGCCGTGTCGTTTAGAGCAGGCCATGCCCTCTAAAACTAATTTGAAGTTTAAAGGGTTGACGTCTGGGCTAGACGAGGGCTAGTCTTCAGCTCTTATAAAGTCCGGAACGTTGGTTTCAAGCCAGGTTTGGGTAGTTCGTGCCTTAGTTAGTTTCGTTTTCATAAGTTAGTTCTTGTTCGTTCGTGTTCGTGCAGAATCCTGCTTGAATGTCCAGGTATATTTTTAAAAAGTGTATTGCTGAGAAGTTTCACAACATGATCCAAGATTGTATCTTGATACACTTTAGCTAAAGTTTTCACTCCTTTGTCACAAAAATGTAGTTTTGTGACTCCTTGATACGACACGCCTCACCAAACCATCACTGACGCAGGATTATGACCACGTTGTACCTTTCCCACCATTTAAGTAGCTTCTTAAGAAATGTATGAATTATAGTGTTCTTCAATCGTGATTTTTTTTTCATCGGTAAAGTGGTTATTTCTGTGCTTTTCACCTGCGTGTCGCGACAGAAGGTGTTTTGATCGATCCACTCTCTTTAATTGTAAAGACTGATTAAGGGCATGTCCTGTATATCGATGATAAGCACAGAGCTTCAGGTCTTGTTTTATAATACGCTACAGAGTCCCTGCGTGAATCTTCATTTCTCGCGATAAGGTTTTTTGCTTCCTAATGGGGTTTCGACGAATTCTGGCTTTAACAGCATTAACAGCCTTTGTAGTTCAAACAGCATGCGGCCACACCGATCGTTTCTGATCTTCGACAGATGAAGTGTTGTTGTATCTGTTGATAGTACGATATACGAACACACAGCTGATACCAAGTTTTTGAAGTGTCTGGAATATGACCGATGGCTCCATATCTTCTTTGTGCAAGACGGTCACTGCAATCCTATTTTAACACCCCGTTCCATATTGTAATTTGATAATGGACACGAAAAAATATGTGAAATGGAGCAAATTCGAAAGAAGTTTTTAAAATAATATACGTGTTTCAAATTCAAAATAATTAAAAAGTTGAAAAAGTAAAAGTTTTTATGTAACAGTATTTATGGCCAGACTAGTTATAGCTTTAATGATGTAGGCGTGCGCTAAGAAAGGATTAAACAAAACTCACCCCCTAAAGGGGAAAAACGGTAGTACAAAGATTGTATAGCACCAAGCTCTGTGTGAGAAAACAATATTTCCACGCAAACGAAGTCGCGGGTAAAAATACAATGTTACAACGTTACGTTATTGAATGCGTTTTCATAAGGTACATTTAACATATTATTATGTCACTTAAAATTCTCTTTTATAGTTTTGGTGAGTTTTATTTTTTATTGGCAGATAGAAAAATATACTTTATATTAGTGAATTGATTTCTCAGTCTTTTGATAACCGAACACGGAATTAATTTTATTAAATGTATTTAACTATCATTTAAATTTAAAACGAAGTTGTTTGTATAATAGTTTTGTAAGAACTTCAAGTAGCAATTGTACTAATTGAAAACATTTTTTTTTTTCTAAACATACCCTACATGGGGACGAAGTCTATGCCAGGACACTTAGCTACCAACAAATTTTTGAAGCCGTATTTTTTAAGCGCATCTTATCTTTTACAGTAAGATTCTTTAAGCATATTGTCTCAGAAAGTAATATTTAAATCTTCAAAATTAATAATAAGAAATTTCAGATTGATTAAGAGGATTTGCATCTAAAGTAGGGGGTTATATGG